AGCACAGTGTCTGGTACATAGTAGGCACTTCATAAAAGTTTACTTATTGACTGACATTAAGTTGTACTAAACTGTTATCATGATGGGGAAAAGAACTAGGAGATATTACTTGTCTTCCTAAGAGAACCTGTATCTTTCCACTTGAACATTTCATGTAGAATATCATATGTTTTTATGCAAAGGTTCTTTCTAGCATTCTGTTTGCTACCAAATGCTTTCTCTCAAGCAAAGGCCTAGTCCTAACCTGGGGTTGGACCTCATATAATTGACCTGGACATAGAAATATTGGGACCTCAGGAAAAGAGCTAGCATCACCCCCTAATCAGGGCCTCAGATGGCAGACCTGAGAAAACCTAGTGCATGTTCCCTTCGTGGAATATCTTCTGGGTATGCCTCTTCTAATGTCTTAGGATGTAACTACTGAAATGGGGCCATATGTAAATTCAGACCATTCTTTAGGAACCCAGACCTTCAGATTAAACTCCCTGCCACCACCACTCCTTTCGTTATTGTAGATGGAACTCTATACCACTACTTTCCATTATTATCAGAAGTAGAGACCCCAACCAATTGGTACCTGTCGATATCAAATTTGTTTCTTCGATTACCCTGTTAGCCATGATTTAGAGTACCCACCTCCCTGGGTGAAGTTACTTTTCTCTGCTACTTTTTTCCATAATCTTGTCTTTATCTAGCTTGTCATAATCATTATTCCTTTGTCCTAGAATCTCATCTCAATCATTAGCAAAAATCCCTTCATACTTGGTCTCTTCTTTTCACATGTTTCATAGTATGCTCAGGGAAACTATTCTCCAGGAGATAGTGCAACCCTGACACCCCTCTTCGGTGCTGATTGCTGCTTATATTGTGTCTCCTGATACATTTGACCAAATGGAAGAATTGGGATGCTCTTTACTTCCCGCTACCACTTCCAGAGCCTTCCACTGGCACCATTACTCAACAACATCTCTGGGGTTCATTTCATCCATGTATATAATCTTTATGTTATAAAGGAGATTCCTTTATGTATGGGTTGCACTTGATGGCCACTGTGGTTCTCTCCAACCCTCCCCTCTTCTAGTCTTCTCATTACTGTTTGGGGCACCACCATGCTTCTGATCACCCAGACTCACAACCTTGGTTTCATCCTTGGTTCTTCACTCACATTCACCCCGTATATCCACTCTTAGATTTCATCATTTCTACCTTCACAACATGTCAAATAGGTCCCCTTCTCTTCACTCACACAGCTACTAACTAATCTAGTACAGTCCCTCATCACCTCTCACCTGGACTGATGCAATAGCCTTGTCAACTGATCTCCCTAATTCAACCCATCCTCCATCTCGCTGCAAAAGTGATTTTCCTAAAGTGCAAAATGATACCCCATTTCCTGTAAGATAAAATGAAGATTCATTAGCCTGATGTTAAAGGTTCTCTACATATCATCCACCTACTAAATAAACTCCAGTGGCTCCCTTTTATATGATTAAATACAAGGTGTCCCAAAACTCTTAGTGGAGTTTTAAGCCATAACTTAAAGACACCCTGTATAAAGTTCTCTGTCATTTAAAGCTCTTCAAAACCTGGCCCCTTCTAACCTGTCCAGTCTTTATAGTTTACTCCCCTTCAAACATGCCCTCAATCACCTCCGCCATCTGCTTTCACTTTTCACAATGCTAAACCCAATCCTGCTTAAGGTAGCCACACCATCATGCTGGCTAGATGTGCTCCAAATTTATATTCTCTGGTATCAACTGGGCCTTCAGTGCTGCATCGCAAAACTTTTATTCTCCTTTGTTGATTCTCAACACTATTCCCTTCTGGGACTATTTCAAACCTTCCCTTGTTTCTTCAAGCTCCCAATACATCCCTTCACCTTTATTATTCTCAACAGATGTCCTTACCTCCTACTTTACTGAGGACATCGAGACCATCTACTGTGACTACCCTCTTCTGCTGTGCTTTATCAGAACCCTTCCCTTAGCGTCTCCTCCTTTACCCAATCTCTGAAGAAAAGTTGGCCCTTTTTGCCTAGGCCAGCCCCTCTATTTGTCCCTTGATCCCATCCCTTTCCATCTCTTCCACAAGCTTGACTCCAATGATCATTCGCTGTCTGATCTTCGGTCTGCCCTCATGTATTAACTCTTCTTCCACCCCTCAGAACATGCTGAGGTCTTTAATCTTCACTTGACTGCCATTCCCTCAGTCTGCCATCTTAAATCTCACTTCCTTTTCACTGTCAAATTCTTAGAATGAATTACCTGTATTTGCTACCTTCGCTTCCTTATCACCTAATAATCACTTCTCAGCCTTTTCCAGTCTGGCTTCTGGCTCCACCACGTTACTGAAACTGATCTCACCAAAGTTACTAGTTATCTCTTAACTTTTAAAATCCAAACCAATCTTCTTTCAGGCCTCGTCCTCCCAGACCTCTCTGCTTTTTTTTTTTTTTTTTTTTTGGATGTTATCAACTATTCTATCTTTCTAGATATTCTCTTCTTTCTCAGCTAATGTGACTCTAGTAGGAACATCATGCATTGCCTTGTCCTGGGTATTCCCCTCTGTACTGAACCTTCTTTCCTTCTCTTTCCACTTAACAATACTATCAGCTTCCATGGATTGAAAGTATCATTGATACACAACTGACTCCCATTTATTTGTTTGTTTGTTTATATCCCTCATCTCACTCCTGAGCTCTTTAGTCACACATTGCTAATCCCCAGCTGTATATCTCCTCTTGAATGTCTTGAAAGCATAGAGAACTCATTATCTTACCCCCTAAACCAGCTCCTTGTTTTTATTGAAGAATCACCATTCTTCCCAGTTAAAAACCCAGTGGTTTTTAACCTCAGAGTCATCCTTGACCCTTCCCTTACTTCTGTTTCCCATTATCCTATCAGCTGCCATCTCTTATCAAATTTACCTCCACTATGTGTCTCACTTCAGTTCACTTAGTCACATGGCCACCACTCTGGTCCACTCAGCTGCCTTAATAATCTTTACAAAGCATAAGTTATTCAACATTCCCATGCTCAAAAACATTTTATGATTTTCTCATTGCCCATAGGGTAAAATGCAAATTCATTAGCCTCCTGTATATCTTCCCAGACTTATTTTTACTACTCCCCTTTATGAGTTTTACATTCCAACCAAACTTAAAATGTTTCTCTTGTTCAAACTTCACAGAACAAGTCCTTTTATTAAGGGATTTAATAAATATTAAGGGATTAATTTAATAATAATTACTAAGAGATTTTTATAATTTAATAATTATTTATTAAGGTATTTGATAAAAGGGTTTGTTTTATGTTCTGTGAAGTTTGGATTCAGGCAAAAGACTCCACTTGAGGACCTAGAGAGCCAGATGTGACTTTGAGGGCACAGGTTCCCCACCCCTACCCTAGTTTATGTGGGTCTTCTTGACCTGATTTTTTTTTTTTTTTTTGCTTATCAATTGGTTAGTCCTTTAACTGTGTCGTGCTCAGTAACAGAACAGAGTAAGTACTCATGTTTTAATTGATTCTGAAAATCATTGGCTGTTTCATGATTTCCCTTATTCTTTTGACTTACTGTTGGTCCATTTTACTGCAGGGATCTTGCAAAACAGTGTACTTTTTTTCGTATTTACTTCAAGAACAAAATCTGCAGAAAAGTTCACGTAGTTCTTGAGATTTTACTGGTCCGGAAACAAAAACAAGACAAGACCAAATGTAATAATTTGCTGAATTCTAGAGTGAACACAACCATTTGGATCTTTTAAAATGAAATGTAAAAATCAAAGTGATTAAAAGGAGATAGAGGAAAATCTGGCAATCTAGCTTTTATCAGTACAACTCATATTTTCTCAAACTGTTGACCAGAGATCTCTGATAAAGTCATGCACCACAGCTTTATTGTGGTGTGGAGATAACACTAGATTCTTAAAGGCTCTGATAGTATAGTACCAGCTTTGACAGGACCCAGTACCAAGTTGGAAAGGCTTTAAGTACAGGATAGTGATGGACTGTGTCATCCAAGGACTAGCCTGTTTGGAGAGCCTCATCACCAGAAGGTGGGGCCAGCAGGTGATTCATTTATTCAGACACAGCAGCCCATGGAGACTATAAAGATATAGAAAGAGAGAAGCTAGTGGTGTAGTCAATAGAGCTCCAGCCTTGGGAGTCAGGAGGACCTGAGTTCAAATCCGACACTTGACACTAGCTGTGTGACCCTGGGCAAGTCACTTAACCCCATTGCCTAGTCAAAAAAAAAAAAGAAAATAGAAAGGTTGCAATTTATATCTTGACTGGGGTTTGGGGGTTCGGGGTTGCACAATTCTCATACATATGAAATAGGTTTTGACCAGTACATGAAAACATTTTCTGAAGTGATACAAACCACTTAAATCCCTAGTTGTATTTGCATTTTATGGTGTTTTTAACTTTTTCAAAAGTACTTTCATATACCTTTACTTCTTTTTTATCTTAATGTTCCTGGCTTATTAAGCTATTTCTCCAAGGATTAGAAATATTCTAACAGTAGAGTCAGAAGCCTTTATTGTTCCTTCACGTATACATAAAGTAAACTGTGTAAGACTGAGCCTGTTTATCCATTCCAGTATTGGTGATGGGGAAAAGGTCAGACAGTAAAATTTTATCGTTGTCATGACCAATCATATGATAATGGTGTCACCTAGGAGCAAATAGAACTAGATCGTCTAGGTAGCTTTCTATATGACTATAGACTAAGAGGAGATCTCTAGATTCATTCATTCAACAAGCCTAAGTGTATATAAATGATATGTATTAAGTGTATAAAACATCATGTGTGTCAAGTGCATTAATCATGAACAAAAGATAATGAAATCCAGATACTGAAAATCACTGGTCTTTAGGTTTAACTAGAAGAGAGTTAAGAGAATTCATACTTGCCCTTCTTATTTAAAAAAATAAAAATAAAAACCTGACCAAAAAAAAACTTAATTGCAGTAACGTGATGCTGTTTTCTCTTCTTCCCAGTTAAAATGTGCACAATATTGGCCACAAAAAGAAGAAAAGGAAATGATCTTCGAAGATACAAATTTGAAATTAACATTGATTTCTGAAGATATAAAATCATATTATACAGTACGCCAGTTAGAATTGGAAAACCTTACAGTGAGTATGGAATACCCTTAAATACTCAACAAGCATTTATTGTCCCTACTAAGTGTTAAGCACTGTGCTAGGTGCTGAGGAAACAAAACAGTAAAATTGCAACAATCTGTGCCCTTATCAGTGAGCTAAGATGTTCAAATATTGGTATGTATAAAATATATACAAAGCAAATACAAGGTGATTTTGAGGAGGAAGGTACCAGCAACTGAGATAATTAGTCACTATGCATTTATTAAATGCTATATGGCAAGCACCGAGAATACAAAGAAAGACAAAAAACATGGTCCTACCCCCAAGGATCTCACATTTTAATAAGGGAGACAACCTGAAAATAACTGTGATAAGAAATAACATGAATGATACATGCAGTGTAAATGGAAGGCATTAGCAGTAGGGGGACCAGGCTGGGCCTCCAGAGCTGTCATGCAGAAAGCCAGGGAAGCCAAGAGCAAGAGTTGAGGAGGGAGAGCATTCCAAGTATGGGGGGAGGTGGGGGACAGTCAACGAAAAGGCATTTGGTTGAGATGGAGTGTCTTGTGCAGGGAATTGTAAGGAGGCTAATGTTACTGGTTCACAGAATACATGGCGAGGGATGGGCAGGGTATGTAGTATAAGAAGACTGGAAAGGTAGGAAGGGGCCAGGTCATAAAGGCCTTTTAAGTGCCAAAGGGGGCATCTTATGTTTGATTATAGATGTATAGAGAGTACTGGAGTTCATTAAGTAGTGGGGTGACATGGTTAGGCCTTTTAGTTTAGAAGATCACTTTGGCACCTAAGTGGAGGATAGATTTAGATAGGGAGAAGTTATTTGAGGCAAGGAGACCAGTTAAAGGGAATGGCAGTAGTTTAGGTTAAAGCTGGTAAGAGCCTGAACTGAAGTGGTAGCTGTGTGAGTGGAGAGGAGATGTAATAGATTTTGTAAAGTTAGAAATGACAGGATTTGACAGTAGATTGGATTGAATGGGATTGACGAATAAAAGATGAAACTGAGGTTGCAAGCCTCAGAGACCAGGAAGATAAGTGGTATCCTCAGCAACAATAGAGAATTTGAGAAGAGGAAAGGGTTTGGGGGGGGAAAGAGAATGAGTCTTGTTTGGATGTGTTGAATTTGAGGTGCCTACAAAGATATCCAATTTGAGATGTCCAGAAGGCACTTGGTGATGCAAGACTACAGCCCAGGAGAGAGATTAGGGCTAAATGCATGCACTGGGGCAGTGTGATCCCCCTTCTCCCCCCCCCCCCCCCCCCCCCCCCCCCCCCCCCGCCCAATCTGGGTGTCATCATTTGCATAGAGATGATAATTGAACCCCTGGGGCTAATGAGTTCACCAATCAAGATAGTATAGAACAGCAGTTCTCAAAGTGTGCTCTAGGGGTCCTTGAGATCCTTTTAGGAAGTCCATGAGTTCAAAAGTTTCTTATATTAGTTCCTTCCCAAATAAACTATAAGCTATTTAAGGGCAGTACATATTTCACTTATCTACATACTAAGGAACAGCATGGTTTTTGGAGCCTGGTAACCCAAGACTGATGATACTTGATGTCCAGACATTTTACCTGTGATTTTTAAGTCACAGTCTATTCATTTGCATTAAACTAAATAAATTTTTATGTTAAAGATAAAAATTTGAGGTAGGGAGAAGAAATGAAGGAAAAATGAAGATAATGAGGATCAAAGCTAAAATGGTCAATTTCAGTTGCCTTTCAGTGGACAAATTCTAAAGCTCCTATATGTGCAAAATATTGTTGAAGATGGTGTTGGGGAAACAGAGGAATTAAGAGATAGTCTCTACCCTCAAATAGCTTACAGGTTAGTTGGGAAGATGAGTCCTAAATACACGAAAAATTAAATAATGATACAGTAGTTGATAGTGGTAGACAACAGTGCGAAATCATGCTATAAGACAACATGATTGGAAAGATCTTTAAATTTAAAGACCTGAGGATGAATCCCAGTTCCATTACCCATTGAGTAACCTTGGGCAAATCATTTAACATCTCAGCTTCCCCCTCCATTAAATGAGGGGCTGGAACTGGAGATGGTCTAAGATTACTCGCAGTCTAAAGCTATGACTCCATGATCTACAATAAGTGTTATGAGTTCAGTACCATATTACTTTGGGCTGGAATAGTTTGGGAAGATTTCATGGAGAAGGAAGAGCTTGATTTGGGCCTCAAAGAATGGTTAAAATTTGGACACGTAAAGAAAAAGGAAGATAATGTTAGGAAACGTATTGTAATGTAAACCTGAGTTTTGATGTCTTCAAGTTTTGTTTTTCTTCACATTATTATTGTGTATGTTTTCTTGGTTCTGCTGATTTTGCTCTGTTCATAGAAGTGGAAGTGACTTTCCCAAGGTCACTCAGCATATCATTAACAGTTGGGTCTACGGCCTAGGTCCTCTAACAGAATTTTGAGTCTAGTGCTCCAAGTGAGAGTTAATGAAATATGTACATTTTAAAGTGACATTTTTTTAGTTTACTCTGATATTCCAGGCCATGATAATTAAGAACTATCCAAGAGTTAGTATTTCTTCTGAGAATTAAAGCTGGTCTTAAATTGGTATATATAGGAATTTGTTTTGTATTTACCACTGTTCTATTGGAAAGGTACTTTCTGTTCTGAGTATCTCTGCCTTTCCAAAGTTATTAGCCATAGCTCACATTACTTACCTCTAAGCAACCTACCTTGCCTCCAAACTGAACTGGACTTCTACCTACCATTTCACAGTTCCATGTGTCCCTCCTCAGCTGTGCCTTTCAGAATCCTTTTTTTCTAGGAGGCATAGCTCAGGTGTCACATACTCCACATGGCCTTCCCTGATTCTCCCAGATGAAAATACCCCCTCCTTCATCAAATATTCAAAGAGCACTTTGTATAGACCTCTGTCTCTTCATTATCACCTATTTTGCATTGTATTTGTCTTTGTACCATTTGTATTCCCTGCCCTAATTATAATAGTAATAGCTATCATCTATAAAATGCTTTAAGCTTACAAAGCACTTCTCCTAGAACATCAGCTCCTATAAGGCAAGATTGTTTTCATTTTTATGTTTGTATTCTCTAGCACCCAATATATAATAGTCCCTTAATAAATGCTCATAATTGAATAGTGGTAAGAATTTAACATTTTATATTCCAGACACAAGAAACTAGAGAAATCCTACACTTTCACTATACCACATGGCCTGATTTTGGAGTCCCTGAATCTCCTGCCTCCTTCCTAAACTTTCTGTTTAAAGTTCGAGAATCAGGGTCCTTAAGCCCTGAATATGGACCTATTGTTGTACACTGCAGCGCCGGGATTGGGAGATCAGGAACGTTTTGTCTGGCTGACACTTGCCTCTTGCTGGTAAGAGGTCTTTTGCTCCATTGTTTGTGAGAGTCTTAAATACTTGATTATTGGATACTCTTCTCCAAACACTTTTCCTTTTTTTGGCTGTTGCCTTATGGTTTTTTGTTGTTGTTGTTGTTGTTTTTTAAACTTTGTATGTTTTACTTGAGGCTTTATCTTCTGCAGAGTTAAAAGCATATTTCTTAGACAGGCATAGCATATGTAGCACAGTGCCTTACACACTGTAGGCACTTAATGAATGTTAAATTGAATTTATAATTTTTCTTCTGAGAAATAATTATCTTAAGAGGTTTGTTTTTTGTGGAGTTGTTTTTTGTTTTGTTTTGTTTTTAAGGACATCTTCTTCCCTAGCCTTCACTTCTTAACCAAATGGATAAGTAGACTAGTATTGGTCCCTGTGTTCTCATGTTTGTAATTTTTTAAAAATAACTGTCCTCAGTTATTCAAGATTTGCTCATTTTCCCATTGTTTCTTTACCTAATTTTCTGTGATCTTTCTATTTTGACCCTGGGACACTCAGTTCATAAACTATGGTTAGATTAACACTGCATACAATAAGTCATTTGAGAGTTTGTTTTGGGCAGCTCATAACTCCCATTTGGGCTTTCAGATGGACAAGAGGAAAGATCCTTCTTCTGTAGACATTAAGCAGGTGCTTCTGGAAATGCGGAAATACAGAATGGGGCTGATCCAGACAGCAGACCAACTGCGTTTCTCTTATCTGGCTGTTATTGAAGGAGCCAAATATATTATGGGAGACTCTTCTGTTCAGGTAAACACCCTCTGACCTTAGGTAGAATTTTAAGAGATTATAAATCTTTTCCTCCATTTGTTGTCCGCCAGTAATACAATGAAAAAGTATTTACTTTGACAAGGTTCATTGCCGTAAAGCTTGAAAAGACTCTGAACATGCCTTTGAAAGGTGTATTTGAGGTAGTCAATTGAAGGGACAAAAGCTGCTCTTAGGGGAGCTCATGGGAAATCATGGCAAATAGATCCACCTTTCGTGCAAAAGAATCTTCAATACACTGAGTTTCACTAGGTGAGAAACTGTCATTTAAATAGGTCATATGGGAACTGTTGACCAGAAGAAGCTTCCATTTCAAAAGATAAATTGTATTTTTGATTTACCTGAGCAGTATTGTTTATGTAACATTGAGACAAGGGTTTGTTTTTCATTACAAGTAAGCCAAAATGGAAAAATCTGATGTTAATATGACTTTTAATTATTGATTAAGGAGCAATGGAAAGAGCTCTCCAATGAGGATTTGGAGCCACCTCCAGAGTATACTCCCCCACCACCCAGACCACCAAAACGGATATTGGAACCACACAATGGAAGATGCAAAGAATTCTTCCCAAACCACCAGTGGAAAATGAATGAGATGGAAGCTAAAGAACAAGATGGCCCTATTATAGAAGAAAGCATAACTTCCTTAACTGTACCACTGACCACAGAAAGGTAATTGAGTGTGAGAGACCTCTGGGAAGGAGATGTTTATTTTAAGAACCATAGAGATGAGGATTGGGGAGCGTTTGTCATCAGTCTGGCAAGGTGTGCAGGAAGAATGTTTGATCAAACAGAGTCATTCAGAAACCACTACTCCCCTGGTCATAAAATGTAATTCACATTAGGTATAGCTTGATGCTTTTTTGAAGCTGAATTCCTAGCATCAGTTCTATAGACGTTCTTTCCACCTGATAATGATGATTTTTGGTGGGCTTGAAGTCAGAAGCCTGGGGATCGTATCTCAGTTTTGCCAGTTACTACTTGTGTGTGATCTTTCCCTCTCTCGGTCTCCAGTTCCTTTGCCTGTAAAACAACAGGTTTGGACTAGCTGGTCTCTAAGTCCCCTTACAGCTTTAAACATGTTGGAAGATCTGAGTGTAATTCTAAAATACAACCTTCGTGGTTTTTCTCATAAATAAGTGAAATAGTACTGTTGGTTATTGGTTTCCTGTTAGGTTCTGTTCACCAAAGGGTTGATCTTAATTTGACACTTTAGAAACCTTGAAAAGTTTAACACTTTATAAGAATGCTGGGTGTGAGTTGCACGTAATTGAGGTATTCATACACGATTACATAGTCAAGCTTTATTAATCTCAGATGTTACATGCTTCCACAAATCTATATTAGAACTGACTTAGCGATCCCTAAAATTCATGACAGATAGGATACCAGATTGGCACAATAGGAAGATAATAGAAAAAAACATTGGATTTAGGGTTTTTTGGACTAGTATGTGACCTTAGGCAAGTGTCTTCTGGGCCTTGGTTTCCTTTTCTGTAAAATGATGTATTTGGGTGAAATTGTCTCTTGTTCCCCTTCAGTTTCTGAAACTTAAGATTCTCCTGAAATATGTTCTTGTACCCTTTGGACCTAAGGGGAATACATTTGATAACCATAGTTACTAGGTGTCAGTATCACCATAATGTAACTACTAATTATGCCTCTGGATCTAGGTAAAAGAATTTGGTCAAGGAACAAAGGATCGTTGCTAGTCTAAATATTTACCTATTGATACCAAAGTTGTGATCAATGCCTGCTTCTAAATTTCTCTCCACTAGTCAAGACACTGGAGTTAGAAGGAGAACTGTTAGTGAACATCAGAATGCCACTTCCACCAAAGAAGAGCCATCCCCGGAAGAGGATGAAGACAATATGGCGACCACCTGGAAGCCCTTTCTAGTCAATATCTGTATGTTCACTGTCCTCACAGCTGGAGCTTACCTCTGTTACAGGGTATGTTTTCATTGATGGACCTGATGGCAGGATGGGAGTGTACAGAAAAAACCATCAGTTGGACTGGTTTCTAATTCAGTTCTATGAAATTAACTGAGTCGTGTCTCAGAAGAAACAAATCTAAGGTTAAAAGTCTGGAACTTTGGTAGGGCTAAAAGAGAAAATTAATTGATGCACTAGGGTTTAAATAAGCCCTGTGGTCCCAAGAATAAAATAGTTGAATCTCAGGGCCTTAAAATATTCAGGACTAAGCAGAGAAAATGCCAAATAAATCTCTCCTGTTTTTGTTTCTTTGTTCATTTTGTTTTTTAAAAGAATAATAGAATTACAACACATTGTTGTTTTTAACCTTTTTGAAAGCCAGTTCTTTGTTTTGTTCTATTTCTGAAAAAAGACTCAGCAAAAGTAAAACTTGCTTGTACTCTCCAAGTGTTGAAACCGAATCTGCAATTTCTGTTTGATTTCCCAGAAGAACCCTCATCTTTTTGAGAATGTCATTTGGTAAGGAGGGGAGGATGGGAGGAACCATGTTATACTCAGCTACACTTCATCTGGTGTTCAGACGGAGTGGTGGGCAGTGCCTGTGCTGATTATCTGTTGACCACAGCATTCATTCCCTTTTTAACATGGTCCTTACTAAAAATGAAGAAGAAAAAACCACAAACCCAGGTTCTGCATTTGCTCAGGGTATTCCTTGCTTCCCCCTTCCCCCACCCACAATTAGAAATAGTTAATTTCTCAATTGGTACTATTAAACTCAACCTGCATCTGCACATGCCTGGGTTATGCTGTCCCCTGCACATTTGTTTACCTTTTTCCCTTGCAGGGGTTCAGGGAGTTCAACTCAGATATGTCCACCAGCATTTTAAAAGCCTCTGTTAGTATTTAGGAAGACTAGTCTTCACATGATTTGGACTGTAAATTGCAGTCTTCTTATAAATACACTTGGTAAAGTTGGCTGCTGTTTAAATGAGGGGCAGAAAAATGCTCTAGGATTCATCCAATACCACAAACCATTAGAAAACAGTTGAATGAATACAGAGCCCAGTCCCACAGCAGCCACCTCGAAAGAGTTTTAAGAGGTCACCCGCTTCTGCTCAAGGAGTCAGATCAGTGACTGAGCAAAAGGGAAGCAGCTTTCCTTTGGCTTTGGGGTTGCTTTTCTTTGCTTTAGAAAACAGATTTCAGTAATGGCTTTGTTTTGGCTCGGCTCTTTGCTGTGAATGTTGTCAGGTGGCATAGGTGGGTTAGTGTGTAAGTCTCGCATCTCCACAGACACCTGGGTTCTGGGCTGACTTCACTTGATAATGATTGGTTTCATTCCACTTCCTGTTCTACAGCATCTCAGAAAGGTCTGTTCCGCCCAAATGGCAGTTGCTGCTTGTAGGAACAGCAGCAGAATGGCAGGAATTAAGGGTTAAGAAAGCCATGAGGTAAAAGTTTGCTCTCACTCCTGCTTTGTCTTTTTGTTGTGGTTGTTGGTGTTGTTCGGCCCTGGCCCTAGCCACCCCTCTCCCTTTTCCCCTACATGTACAGAGTCCAGTTTCTCAAGGAGAATGAAAGAATGCAGTGGTGCAGATAAGCAGAAGGGGCAAAATAGAGTACTTATAGTTGCAGTAGCCAGTCCAAGACACTCGATCTTGATCTGCAATGGTGCCACTAATTGGTGCTTTTTAATGAATCCTAGTCATGCAAGCACTTAAACACCATTTTCAGCCAACCTTTTATGGAGTATATTGTGTAATGAATCTTTTCACTCCATATTTATTTTCCCCCCAACGGTATCCATAGCTCTAGCATTTTCTTAAACTAATAATGTGTTTAAAAAAATTTTTTTTAATGTCAGCCTTGCATCAAGGGCTTATCGGAAGTACAATAATAAATCTTCAGGTAGTGCTGGGAATTTAAGACATACCTGATAGGCTATGGAATCCATCCAGTACTTGAAAGGAAGAAGATTGTAAGCAGTCATTATTGAGTAATATTGTGGTTTTCATTAAAAGAGATATCGGGATATGTTTATAGAACAATGGTATCATAATATATAATGAACATTTGTGTATTTAAGAGACAGTATGTGATTTCTTTGTCCCAGTTACTTTCCCTAGAGTATTGTTCTCAAGCAACATTTTCCCCATTTGTATTAGAATGCATGTAAGGTCGTCTTGTGTCCTGATTAAATACCATGTGCTTGAAGGTGAAAGAACTTATATTTCTGCTTACTGATGTGCCCACACATAACAGTCAAATTTATATTTGCATGATCTGATCGTTAAGTGGCTGTGGTTCACGAGGCTGTTGCTGAAAATGTCTTCATTCAGCAATAGATTGATAGATATTTATCCAATAACAGATACTTGCCTAATTATTAGGCATGACTTTCTATTCAGTTTTACTCAGTAACCCAGTTTATCATACTTAACTATCAACTGAGTAGCAACTGTACTACAGACATTCCAAGTGTATGATAAGCCCTAATCACACCTCACCCACTAGTCATCTCAGGCAGTCAGTCTCCCCACTGACCTTTGACGGTATCATTTACTGCTCCAAATTCAGAAACATATCCTGGAGCAAACCATTATTTGGAATAAAGGCTAAGTAAAGAACAAAGCAGTTAATTTTTGCTGTGGAGCGCTCTGGCAAACTGGATCTCTTAATATAGGTGGCCTACATACAGTTAACTGCAGTATCTTTCCTGTTTGGAAGTATTAATTCTAGTCTTGGTGGGAATCCCTCACCTCACCCTCCAAACACACATACACACCACACACACAACAACAAAACCCTGTCAGCCCTCCACAGTGATTCAGTTATATCATAGCTACTCCTTTGAAAGAAATCATAAGGTCTTCAAGTTATGACTTTCATTTTTTTAAATGAGGGGAAATGGGGAGAGGGTAGGGGGAGGTGGCTGCAGCTATTCTGCTGGTCTTTACCAGCAATTTCACATTTTGCCTTTGACCAGTTGGATGCCATTAAGGATTTCTACTGTAATGAGAACAGAGTAAAATAACCCTACAGAGCATTAGTGAGGTGTGTCTAAGGCTTATAATGCCAAACTGTAAGCATCTTTTTCTCAAGTCCTGTATATGTATGTAGTAGTTTGGGTATGTATATACAGCAAGTAGAATTTCAAAATGGGTGTATTGGTTAACCGCCTATTCTTGGAGAATGGATGGCTATCCATCTTGTTAAATGTATGTTAGAAAGTTAGTGAGCTGCTAATGCTATATGCCTTAAGCAAATATTTACTCATCAGGTCTTTCTTTTTTTACCAATGGCCATAGAATAATACCATTTTTACAAAAATAAAAATAAACAAAAACAAAATGTTTTGGTATAATACATTTTAATGTATCTCTCTGCCTCTGTGTGCATGCGTGTGTGGGGGTGGGGCGTGGGCGGGAGTGGTGAGTGTGTGCAAGATTCTACAATGACCTCACAGGTTTAAGTGAAATTGTACAGTTTTACAACTTCCCATGCAAATAAATGATGGGTTCTCATTTTAGTTGCAACAATAAAACTTTTTTTTTTAAAGAATATGCATTTGGGCTGCTTCACATTTCTTTGTTGAAGGGACTGCACCTTGTTGATCTTCTCTGTTGAAGTGAAGCACATTCTTCTCTTTAAGCACAGCTATGGTTGCCTAAAGTCTCTTTACAGGCTATCTGCAATGCTAAGATGAGTTCAGTTGTTCTCTGAACTTTTTAAAGGATTCCTTGATAGGAATGTTTTTGGCTTTATCTTATAAATGAGTTAGAGGTAGAAAGGACCTTTGAAATACTTTAGTTCATTCATTCATTCATTCATTTAATAAACATATTAAGTACCTACTATATGCCAGGCCTTGTACTAAGTGCTAGGCATAGTCTGGTCCCCTCATCTGTCAAGGAGACTTGATGCCGGGGCAGCTAGGAGGTACAGTAGATAGACCTCCATCCTTGGAGTCAGGAGGACCTGAGTTCAAATCCAGCCTCACACACTTAACACTTCTAGCTGTGTGACCCTGGGCAAGTCACTTAACCCCAATTGCCTCACCAAAAAGCAAAACAAAACAAAGCAAAAAACCTTAGCTTGGGGCAGCAAGGTGGCGCAGTGTATAAAGCTCTGGCCTTTGAGTCAGGAGGACCCAAGTTCAAATCTGGCCTCAGACACTTGACACTTACTAGCTGTGTGACCCTGGGCAAGTCACTTAACCCCAATTGCCTAAGCAAAAAAAAAAAAAAAGGGGAGACTTGATGTCCGAAACTGTTAAGTGACTTGCCCAAAGTTTCAAAAACAAGTAGTATCGGAGCCTGACTCAAAACATCGACCTTCTGACTCTAAAATCCAGTGCTCTTTCCCTACATTATAGCAATAAATAATAATGCATATGTACCTTCTCTCCTCAGTGTATGCTGTGCACTAAAGGTCTAGTTGAAGCAACAAGTAAAGCTCAAGCTCCGTTGTTGCCTTAAAAGGAAAGGGCAAATCCTTTATCTGTAAAATGAAGACTCTGAGCTAAGGCTCAAGCTTCCTTCTGTCTCTGACATTTGACCCTGGGTAATATGGAAATGGGTCCACAAAACAGTCTTCTTTAATGTGCTTTTATAGTTTGGTTATTTTGAAAGTATAGTAAATATATATTCAGTATTCAGTTGATGGAACAGAGGGCTTGCTAAGCTAATAAGATTTTCTTCCCCCATGGAGAGTTAGTGTTTCTCTGCCTTGCTTTCCAGGACAAAATTAATTGCATAACCATTTTGAGATTTTTATTTTTTTAATTAAAACTTTACAGAATTTAATATGTAAAGTCACAAAAATAAATATCCAATGAAAATAAAATCACAAAGTATATACAAGTGAGAGTAACTGAGGTTTCCTAAAGCTTCTGTTATGGAGCTTTCCAAGGGCTACTGTTCCTCGGAGACATTTATCCATACACGTTAGTCATAAGCATCATATCTGAATCATCGTATCTGTTTGGGTTTGGGGGAGCTTTTCTCAGTAGGAAAAGTTTCCTGTCTTTGTCTTTCTTCAAGAAGCCTATGCTACCTCTTTAAAGACAATCAACCTCGGGGGTTCAAAACCAATTCAACTAACAGCCTGGCTGACCCCTGCCAGAATTGTATGTTCAAAGGTTTCCCTTGATGATAGTTTTTCCCTCCTTTTAGCCTTGTATCCTTAATGGTATAACTGAATATGGCAAAAATATGCTTCATAAATAATCTGTATACCTATTGTAGTCAAGACTCTACTCCAGCACTTCAGCATAAAAGAAAGCAGTCAAACATATTTGGAAATGATTTTCTGTTTTTCAATCTTAGATTGCTCTATCAAGACAGCGATTTCTACCATACCAATTGTACCAAGACATAGATACTGTATCTCCCCCACCCCTTTGCTTGTCAAGGGGTCAGGTTGACTACCCTCCTCCCTGGACTGTGTTCTTCCTTCTTCATTAGTAAATCAGACTTGAAAGACTTTAAGCTCAGCACCTAATGATTCCCCATTGTCTTGGCTTTTTACTGTATTCCCCTTCTGGTCTCAGAGTTTGGGGCTTTGGCTTTGCTGTAGCTGGGTCAGAGGCACCCTTTGCAGTCTCAAGCCAAGAGAGATTCTGGGAAAGGTCATTTAGGAGCTTTACCAAAGGGTGTGGACCATATCTGTCCTGATTTTTCTCTATTCCTGGTCAAAATGTAATCTCTTGGGCTTTAGTTTTTGTCACAGACCATATTCCTCCAAGAAGCAGAAGTGTACATTCCCAGACTCTTCCTCTAATGAGTTTGTGCTGCAACAACCAGATGCCAACTACCTACCAGTGCCAATATTCAATCTTCATATGACAGGGCAGTGGAAGAACAGATTCAGAATCTGGGCTTAGCCTATGGGGCTATTTAAAATATTGTAATTTCAATATCTGCCTCCTGGCATAAGGTTTCTCTGACTTCAGAGCAAATTTTATCCATCTTCTCAAAAGCCAAACGTCCTTTTTCACCTGTGTATATATAAGATAATGTATCACTGATAGAAACATCAGTACTCCCATCCCCAATCTTGTTTTTTCTCCACATACCATCACCACCACCACCACCACCCCCCCCAAAAAAAAAAAACTTTATAGTGCAGACAAAACTCTGCATTCATTTGTAAAAACAGCATAGGTTGGAGCTTGGGGAAGAGATGTATCTGCAGCCCTTGCCTGACATTTTTAAACAAGTTAAGGGTCTTAAAGTTTCAGCATCACACACATAGGACTGGGATTAAGCAGCTTTTGAGTTTTAATCCTTATTCTCATACGACTTTGATGAAGGGTAATAAATTCATTTTTAAAGGAGGAATAAAACATTTCTTACCCTCTTAGCTGTTCTTCAAAACAGTTGCCTTAGTTAAAAATATTAATAATAGTTCATAAGTCATCATTGCAACTGCCACAATTATTCCCATTACCTAGTTGATATTTTTAAGCAATGAAATTATAAGAAACTTGTGGGTGAGATTCAGCAGTTGAAACAGGCAAATAGATGCAGGTTACACCTGTTTGTGGCTTTCTACTTTTCCCCCAAAAGCTCTCAGTACCCTCAACTAGGATGGAAAGCTTAGTTTTACCAAATGATAGTGTTGTCTCCCGAGCTGCTGTCCTCACATCTTCCAAATCAGACTGACATAAACTTGCAATCTGATCAATACTTTCCGTTCCCTAGGTGAACAAAAGAAACTTTTTAAAAAATAAAATAAAATTGGTTTAAAAAATACACAGGCATCTGTGACTTGAGGTGTAAGTTCAGGTCAGGCCGGGAATTCATCCCAATGAGGGTTTTTGAGGATAATTATTGTTCATTGAAAATTTCTATAACATTGTCCTGTTATGATGGTCAGAAGCTCACAGTATTTACTCTTTATCAGAGCCTTTGGAAGTATCTGTCTCATCAGTTGAAGCTTTACCAGGATGCCCTTGGCTATATTAGCTTCTGAACACAGGATGAGAATCAAATGAGACCATTATAAAGTACTTATCATGGTACTGAGCACATGGTAAGCTCTACATAAATCTTAGCTATTATTACTCCTGTACCAGGTAGTAAGTAGAATACTGAACATGGCGTCAGAAGACCATGGGGGTAAAGTACCTCCCCTCTGGGCCATTATTTCCTCTTCTCTAAAATAAGAGTAATAATACTGGCTTCCTTATAGGACTAAGAGGATCAAAAGAGAGGGCAGATCTGAAAATGTTTTTGTACTAAGTAAAATACGTAAACATCAGCCTTATTAACCATCTTTCTATTGTCATGACAACAGGGAAGCAGTTAACTAAGATCATTTCCAGGTAAATTTTTTTCTATTAGTGTATACTTTAATTACTTTGGCATCATCTTGTTAGCGTTCTTGCTCAGCTTTGTTTGATTGTTGCCATCCCAGTGCTGGAAACTCTGTAGTGTTTGCTCCCTCTGCTGGCTAATTATACTAACACAGTTGATCAATGTCCACGAATCATCCATCTTTGGGCTCCTTCATTATCTGACTGGATCTCATAGAATTTCTTATCTATTCAGGTTCCCAACCCAAATTCATGAGGCTAAGTTCTCAGTGAAGTTTCAAAACAGATAAGCCAAGAGTTTAAAGTGAACCTTAGAGGGCCCTCTAAGGTTCGAATTGACCTTGATCCCCCTCTTAAATAACTCCTTGGGATTCTTTGTTCAATCAAGTATTTGTTAAAACATCTACGTGCCAGGCACTACACTAGGCACCAGGGATTTAAAAACGAAACCCTTGCCCTAGAGAAACTTAAAGTATTATAACAGTCACTATTATTACTAATCATAATAGCTGGGGTTTATGTGATACTTTAAAGTTTTGCCCAGTACTTTACAAATATCTCATTTTATCCTCACAATAACCTTGGGAGGTAGGTACCAGTTAAGTTACTTTCCCTGGGTCCCACAGCTAATAAATGTCTAAGGCTGGAATTAAATAAAAGTCTTCCTGATTCAAGGTCCAGTACTTTATCCACTGTGCCATCTAGATGCCTAGAACCAAGGAAGGCTACATATACATAGATAGATACCAAATAGATATGAGAATGTGTGGGGGAAAGCAGTAGCAGCTGAGGAGGACTAAATCAGGAAAGAGTAGAGAGTGGAGCTTGAGCTGAACTCTGAAGGAGTCTAGGGATTCCAAGAGGCAAAGGTGAGGAGGGAGGCCAGGGCTTTGCAGGCACTGAGCAACTAAAGAAAAGGCCAGGAGATTAGGGTGGAGGTGGGGGGCAGAATGCCATCTGTGAAGAACAGTAAGAAGGCCAGTTCTCATGAACTAATGTTGCATTTTAAATCCTCAAAATGCTATAGGTTGCCATAGAAGATATTCCC